TTCAGTAATTGGTTATAAGTGGCTAACAGTAATGGTTACAAAACTTTATAAAAATAAATTATGCAAAAAACTATTGAATACAAACATCTATTACTGAAAATAGACAACTATAATCTTAATTTGTTGATAGAGTATTAATAATACTGTATTATTAAATGACATTTTTCTTACTATTGTGTTATACAGTACAATAGTATTATAAAAATTATTAATTAAAATATTTTAATAATTAGACATTAAATTGGTATCGATTTATGTTTTTATTAAGAAATGCATTTAAATAATAAACAGTTTTATTAGTATAAAAATTTTGAACTAATAATATGAATAAGAGATTCAATGTCTAGAAATGATATCAAATTAGAAATAGTAGTTTTGTATTGACTTGAGATCGATATCACACATAAAAAGCATAAAAGATTTTACTTAATAAACAATAAAAATGTTAATAAAATGATCCACAGATTCATGTAATGGCCATCATTTCAAGTGTACTCTTCGGCAAAGTAATCAACGAAACCATTGCGATAACAAACGCCAAAAGTCCGATCGTATATATGCCTAATATAAACCGACGGAAACCACTGCCGGCGCCGTCGCCTCCCAAATGTTGGTCATCGTGTGAGCCATTCATCTCTTGCATCGGCATGTCATGGGTTTCTACCGGATTAAAGTCTTGAGATTAAAGTTTTACAAACAATTAGTGCTTTTAAAGATTATTAGATAAGAAATGCTAAATACAGTTATATAATTAAAAGGTAAACTAGGATTTGATTGGGATATTACAACATTAGAAGATGTGACACTATTTTGATATATTGTTAAAGTGTTTGTGTAATCAATGAATGTATTTATAATTTACATTCACATCACTTGTAAATCCTGTCGTTAAGTATGTGAAAAATTGAAATTTAATTGAGTTGTTATCAAATCAATTAATCGCTAAATTAGTCATTAATTACAGACAGAGAGCTATAATATATACTTAAAGGCATATTCTTGCGGCAAAATTGAGATTTTCTTTCAGAAATAGAGGTCATATTTGGACTCAAATATTGAATATATGTTTTTCATAGCATTAATAGCAGTGAGAATAACGTATAATTCAATTCATTTTAGGTAATGAATAAAAACTTGTCCTTATATTAGGGGAAAAGAAAAATATTGTTTTTTGGGTCATTGAAACAAATGTATTCACTATTTCGTCCTCACATATCAAACACAGAAAAAAATGTTTCACTGTTTTGTAAAATAGTCTACAAATCAATAAAAAAGACAATAATCTCAAACATTGAAGAAAAATATTGGAAATAATAAATAAACGCTTGAATTACTTCTGTTTTGCATAAAAAATGATTGAAACTGAAGAATGAGATGAACGATAACGTAGAACAAGACAAATGAGATGACTGTCCATAAGAACTGTTTGGGCAGATCGGCCACCGATAGCCTTGTGGCCAAGAAAATGGCTATAATGGCAGCGATATGACCGACATTACCCCCAAACCAATGGCCCCAATTGAATAGCCATCTATTGGGGGCGTCGGGATGTGGTCTCAATAGAGCTCCGATAGGATTCAGTAACGCGAGTGTGAAGGCCAGGGAACCAAATACTTGATGCCAACCCTTAATGAAACAAAAATATAAATATAAGTTAATTAAATTCAATGCAATGTTTTATTATTGTTTCGTTTTCAATGAATTTTCTTTCATTCAATATATTCGCCACAAAATCGTGTTTAAGTTTTTCTTTTGTCAAAATTAGTTTTGAATATAAAAAAGTATTAAAAATATTTTTAATTTCTTTTTATTTGCCGATTGAACCAATTTTTCTTTATTATCATTCAATAGAAATGATATATACTTTTTGTGTTATTGAAAATCATTGGTACATTTCAACAATGCATTAATATTGAACAATGTAATGTTAACTTACAAATTATCAATATTCTCATTTTTAGTGCCATAATGTTTTTGCTTCTCACAACAGATACAGAAATATTGCAAAATATTATTACCAGTAATATATTCTCACATAACATGCAATAATTTTTGTTATTTATATTTATCAAAAATAAAATATTTATCAGAAATAAAGTATTTGATTGAATGGAATTTGTAAATTTGATTATAATTATAAGACACAGTACATGTAATTTTACTTAAAAATTCATAGTTATGAGACAAAAATTCAAAAACTGGTTAAACTTTTTAACACAAGTCTTGATTTTATGCCAATTAATATAAAAGTCATTTTGGATTGACTTATATTTTAATTGCTCGTATAAATTGTTTACAAAATTAAACCCA